AGGTCCTCAAATCAAATCGTTACAAAAAATATATTCAGAGATATGGTTATAGAAATCTCATTTCCATAAATTAAAAGAAATTTCCGAAAACGTTGTTAATTGATAATGTAAAGTACAAATTTGTGTACCTTATACATTAGGTCACACAAAAAACCACATGCGTGTCCTTTGTTGATGCATCGTGTCTATAGGTGGTCTGAACAAACTATAAACTTTAATTACCATCACTCTCCTTTTACACCACAGACACTTTTAATTCGTTGCGCTATGCACAATTTTATTACAACTATCCTATAGTTATGCATTAGCTGTGAGTTAATTATGTGCGAACATATTTGTGTTCTAAAGGTCGAGGTCAGTACAAGTATATCAACATAGACAGCAGACAAAGTTTGCGCCAGCAACTGTTTGGTACGAGCAAAACTAACATCCAGTTTGTTAAAATCCCTCCAAGTAAACAGTTGATTGGTGTAGGTAATTATTTACCGTTAGTTACTCAAACAGTACAAGTACAGATTTGTGTATTCATATATGTTTTTAAGGGTGTGCTGCTCGTTGATCGATTTGTTTGTTGTCTATCAATGTGTGAACTTGTAACTATCATTACATTGTCTGGCAAACAAACATGCACATACATGTGAGTATACTTCATGCACATATGCATTTACAAAAACGCGTGGGTGAGTAAGGAAGGAAATTCATATATTGTGGACATTCAACTTTGCATTTAATAAATAATTTCTTTAGAATTAGAATAATAAGTGTATTCACGTGTTTGATTGCTTAACACAATTTAAATAAAATTAAATAAATGTTAAATAATAACAAAAATTTAGTATAATAAATGTGATATTATTTCGCCCTTTCTCTGCTCGTTATCCTTGCGCACTGCTCTCTTTGTAGAAAATTTACCTGTAAAAGCAATAACAAAGTTATAGCTTTCAATTGATACAAGAAAGTATAAGCATTCCTCATTAAAATGGTATAACCGCTATCTTCAATGCTACCAAATTTGAATGCACACATTTTATGTCTGTTTTACGATTCGGAATGGCTCATATGACAAACTCCTCTCAAAAATTAAAATACAAGATTTTTTCAAAATTTTAAACTTGAAATAAAGCAGAGTATTATAGTTTATAGAAAACGTGAAACTCGAAATTAAAAGGTTAATAAGGCTATAAGTGAAATTTCTCCATAAAAGAAACGCAATTGTTTATGCGATAGAGGATATGATTGCTCATGGTTACAACGCAAGTGCTGCCAGTGTGTTTGAACTAATATAGTTTGTTCGATTTGCTACTCCCCAACGTTTGGCGAATCGAAGACGGCTAATATCTTTTAGAGTGACTTACGAATACACTAGCAATTTTCAACCAGAAAATTGAAATAATTTACACTTTGGTATCGCCGAGTTATGTCACCTCCATTTCTCCCTTGATCCAGTATCTTAATTGATCTATATTAAGAACTTTATTAATATCTTGTATCTTAATGGCATTCTACCTCAAACGAATTTTTAGAGTATTTAATTTGCGCTCAGATTTTTATCACTTATTTTAGTAAAAAACTTATCATCCAAATGGTAACTGTTGCCTTCTAACTTGTATCAAAATGTTGACCGCACCTTTTGGCAGACTTACTCAGTTCATAATTTTGATGTTCACTTATTCGGCTGGTTTCTCGATAAATACTCAATCAATTCATTTTCTGAATTAAAATATTATGAAAAATTTACATACACCAGAGCGACTAATTACAATTTTTTTATTATATTATTATATGGTGTTTATAGTGATTTTTTTATCTATAGAATCCTTCGAGAGATCTCCGAACGAAATTATATGCATATCCTTTGATCTGCATTCCAAGCAGTTGGAAAAAAATTGCAAAAACTTTTGTTATTATCTATGGTGTTGGATGTGTAGGTGTGTTCTTGAGTTGCTCCTAAATTCTCAGACTCTGCAATATTACTTTCGTTAGTAATGGAAAGCTTTCTATAAAATCCCTAATATGCAAAATTTCGCGATGGAAGAGGGGAAACAGCTGTCTGATCAATTTGACTTCTCTATGTTAAAAGGTTTGGCCAGTCTAAAGTCCAAAGTGTTTATCTTGACGATGTATTCTGGAAGTAAGAAAAATTGTTGGTTTTCTCTTTTTGATTCGAAATAGAGGTAACTGGGCCAATCTTTAAAATTATCCGTCCAAAAGAGCTTTGACGGACGACGGTGATTATAGCAATTAGTGCTATCTGAAACAAAACAAAAAATGGGATCTAAATATACAAAATACTTGCTAATAAAATACATGTGTTTTTAGCTTTACGTCAATTCATATTTATTTTTCGGGTTCTAAAATAAAATATGTATGGTTAATTACATTATGTACCATATATTACCATATTCTGTTTTATATTGTAATTGGTTCGCACAAATTTTAAAATTTTATTCTTAGGAAACATTTTTTTTTTGGTTCAGACTATGAGAATACTACCTGATCCTCTAACTCTAATGAAGAAAGTAAATTGGCTTTCAATATTCTTTAAAAAATTTAATTGACAAATAATAAATAGCTATCACCTATTACAGCTAAGAACTAATCTATGATTATCATTCAAAACACTCATAACGATGTTTTCGATTAATTATTGCTAAATTTTTTATTATACTGTAAGTGGAATTTATGTCACATGATTTAAACTTAGTTCGAACTTATATATTTTTACATTGCAAGATTTTTAAACTTTGCGTTATTATAGAATTACACATTTAAAAAACCTCTTATAAAAAGCATCAATCCGTATACCGCTACTTACTCTGTGCATATAGTTAAAGCCGTTCGTACAACAAAAACGGAAATGGTGATATTCGACATTACCAAACAATAAATCTTTGATAATCTCAACTTATACGAAATAACTTAATTTGCATGCGCATTTGATTGTTGTAAATAAAAGTTTTTATACTCCAACCAAGTTGTATTTTTTTATTGTCATAAATAACAGTAATAACAATTTCGGTCTGCTTAATAACTGAATATTTAAGCTTGAAAATATGTGGCAGCGTATAATTCTTCGTTTTAGCGGGATGTTTGGCTATTAATCCAGTTGATGTGCGTCGTAAAGCAGTCCAAATGGATTAGAAAGAGTACACAACTACTTTTATAACAAAAGTTAAGTGCTAAACTCCAAGAAGTCATTCATGTACAGTATGTACGTGCTATAAGAAACCAATAAAAACTAAAACTGCAGCTTCTGGCGATATTATTTTTCAACAAAAATTATGATTTTTGTGCTTTCTTAGTGATAATTTACATTGCTTGATTTTAATTGAAGAAAAAAATAAAGGAATCAGAATAAATCCAAAATTATCGACCTATCGGAATATAATTATAATTAAAAAAATATTCAAAATTAAGCTTGGCTCTAAACATGATTAATTATAAAAAAAAAATGGTATTCAGCAAATATTTATTGTAATTTAAGTTTCTCAAATATAAATACTGCCTATTTATTTATTTTAGGGGCTATACTATAATACTAATTAAGTTTTTGGAAAAAAATGTGTAATTGTGTGCTTGATTTCAGTGCTATTAAATTTACACTAAATATATATTTTATAACAACAGCTTTATAAATTTTAAAAATATTATAATTTTGTTTCTTAGCCACAACTTTTCGTCTTGGTCTTTAATCGGCTTACTACAGGCAGCTGACCTCCCCATTTAACCTGTGGCAAGTCTCATTGGGAGGAATTCACAAGAAGAATTGCGAAATAATAAAATAGTACAAATGCGTAGTGGAAAAATGTAATAGCTAAGCGGTCCAACGACCCAAGTTTTACGCAGTAAACCAAAAGTATGCAACGCGACGGAAACATTAAAGTTAGAAATGTCGAAATAATAAAATAAAGGAAAATGATGTATTAAAAGTGGAAATGCCGGCGCGACTGACATATAAAACGAAAGTTTAGCATAAATAAATATACATTTTGCATGCAATTAATATGGCTATAACAACATCGCCCAAAACATTCGCGTGAGACTACAATCAAACCATATTTGAATATTATTCGTACTAATGGCTTAAATGTGTGTAATGAACTCAAATGGTAACTGCATTGACTACATTGCCCAAATTTCACTCGAAACGTCAGCTGATAAGTCGTTAACGCTAAAACGTATAAATTATAAGCAAACGCTCTTAATGCAGGCGATGTTAGAGAAATACGTAACGGCACACAAGAATAAGGAGAAGAAATATAATGAAACATTGCAAACATTTTCTTCATTTCGCACTTTCACCAGCGCGAATTAATTGAATGTATGCATGTGTGTGTGATACCATGACTATGTTGAAAGAGTTTTTTTTTTTTGAAATATTAAGAACTACATACATATATTCTAGGAGAATGTCTGTGCCTGCAAAGAATAAATTCCAACTACCCACATATCTTTTGTACATTTCCGATGTAACGTATACGCTCTGTTGAACCAATTTTCGTAGCAGCGCACGTGTACATGGCTTGAATAATAAAAACCACCTATTTTTGTGGAAGTGTCTTTATAGCTTGATATAAAGGCTTAAGTGCAAATTCATAGTTTAATTATTATTTTATATTATAAAATGGTATAATTGCTATGGAAGTTCATAAACTATGAGAAATTGTATAATTGATTACCAAGAGTGTACAATTTCCTGTAGAAAAAAGTTATGAAGTACGTTTATAAAATATATCAGGAATCATTTTTGTGTATTTCTGCGAACGGAACTTATTATACTTTAGAAGCTAAGCTCAACAATTATCGAAAAGGAAAAAAATCATCAATCTTTTCGGGTGTTTTTTCATGTAAAGAAATTCCTAAAACCAAACAAAAAGTGAATTTTGGGTTTGTTTTTTCTCATGTTTTATAGTGTTCGCTTCTTATATACTTCTTTATATTCTCTTAAATACCTTCATAATATTAATTCAATAAAACTTTTATCATTCTCTTTCTTGCAGATTTGCGAACTGCATTCGATCTCTTAGATAGAAATCGTGATGGTCGTGTCACAGCAAATGAGCTGCAATTTATGTTAAAAAATCTTGGCATAAATGTACGAGACGAAATCATACACGATCTCATACGGGAGGCAAGTCATTCTGGTGAGTACATAAAATTCTCTTTCAAATTTAGTTGCAAAATAGTCAAAATCATCATGCTGAGAGTAAAAAAATTCGAAAACTCGTTCACATATATATCATGGTTAAGAGTCATTAGAACTTAAGGAGCAAAAACTCAGCCTTGAAACATTATAATGCTTCCTAAATGAATACAAATTTATACAAGGAAAATACAAAAACGATCAATAGAGAAAAATCTAGCGTACAAATATATACAAGGTGCGTTCCAAAGTAAACAGGACTTTTAATAAAATAGACAGAACAAATGGTTTTATCGGCAAAATCAGTTAATTTTATTCAAAATAGTCTTCTTATGCTTTAATGCAGCTTTTTGCACGGTCCAAAAGCATGTCGAACGAGTGTTTAAGCTTGTTGCCCGGTATGGCAAGCCATTTGAATGGCCTCCACGTCTGCATAACGCTTTCCGTTCATCGGCAAATGCATTTTTCCGAAAAGGTAGAAGTCGCACGGTGCCATATCAGATAAATATTTGGTCAAATAATCGGCCACAAGCGTCGGTCGATGAGACGGCGCATTAACGTGCAACAAACGCCAACTTCCATCTTCGCGATATTCGGGCCGAACACGTCGAATACGGCGCACCAAACGCTTCAAAACTCCAAGATAGAATACCGCATTAACGTTTTGGCCGGGTGAAACAAATTCTTTGTGGACAATAGCCTTGGAATCATAAAAACAAATCAGCATCGTCTTCACTTTTGTCTTCTCCAGGCGCGATTTTTTGGGTTTCGGCTAATTTCTCATTTATGTCCTTACGACCACTTTGAAAACGTTGAAACCACTCATGCACTCTACGGGATAGGCAATCATCGCCAAAACATCGACTGTGTACTTTGGAACACACCTTGTATAGTAAATCAAATAAGCAACGACATTTTTCCATATTTTCATAACTAAAACCAAAGATGTGCTAATGGCACAAGCTAGAAATACTTGCATCAAACTTGTAATGTGGCTTGTGAGACATTCTATTTCTTGTAGAAGTGGGCAAGACTATGTCCATTTTCCATCCTAATCTTCAAATTTTAAGTTTTGGTGTTATTAGATAACCATTGGTGGCTGTCATTTATGCTGTTTTCAAATTCTGTGTTTATGGTAAGAATACCAAGATATTTGTGAATATTTTCTTTTCTGATGTAGTTTGGTGAACCCTTCAATGCTCTAAGTATTTTTGACTGACATTTCTTAATATGTCAGTGTTGTTCACACAGGTTCGACCTCACAGTTGAATACGATATGGAACCTATACATTCAAAATAACCATGTTATTAAGACTAAGTTTTGAAATCAGTTTTAAATTACAGCTTTTATATTCAATCTTTTGGAAATCGTGAAATATTTCTCATCGATGCCTTTTAAAATGTATCATAGTAATATGTATATATTTTATACCATCAGAAATTAGGGATTTCAGCGAAGAAAAAACTGACCGACTTTTAAAAAGGGAAATATTTAAACGTAAGAATTTTCAATTGAAGATTAGGAACATTTTCCGATAATTGATCAATGTAAGGTGAGAAATTTATAATATAAATCAAAACAAGAAAACACGTTAACCTCGGTTGCACCGAAGCTAGTATAATACTCTTCACAAATATAAAATATTCCTTACAATAACTTAATTTTGATCGGTCATAGTGGCTATAGTGACTCGATCTATTCCTTTGGAGTTTGGAGAACAATTTCTTTGGAGTTTACACTTGTCTAAGAATAACCCATGACATATTTATTGAAGCTATTTCATCAAATGACAAAGTTTTTCATACAAACACTTAATTCCGATCCCAGTTCACGGTATACAAACGTCAGTGCGTTTGAGACATACAAAGGTTAGCTTACCACAAATTTCGTGAGAGAAAAATATTTTAGTTAAAGATAAAAATTAAAAAAAAACGGTAATTTGAATTTTTAAATTTTGTGGTTATGTGGTATTAACACACAAGTTATATATCATCTTGTTATTACCCAAATTTAAGTTTTGTCCATAGGACTTGTAGTTCTTCAGGAAATCCATATAAATCGGTTTTACACTTAAAAACTAAACCACCCTCTCCATTACACTTTCCGATCACAAATCGCCCGCAAATTATAATTTTTTCTTTCATTTTTGTTATAATCTCTTTATTTCTCAATGAGTTTTATCATACTATTAATTTTTTTGTTTTCATAAATTATTAACCCTAGCCTACAAGTATATTATAAAATCATTCCATACCTATAACACATGTCGCTCAACTGAACAAAGAAGTAGCCTTTCGACAGTTTGTATCTACGAGTTTAAAAAGTGATAAAGGCATTTCAATTATTAATAGCGATAAAATATCTAAAATACTCCAAAATAGTTGTAACACATACTTTAGCCAAAAAAGTAAGTAATGCATTACTCTTAAAGAGTTATTTCAAAAGCACACATTTTTTTCGAACTACTTGAGTCATATAGTATATCAGTTTACACAAAATCTTATAAGTAATACATTACCAAGCATAACAATCCCCCACGAAGTAGTTAACGAGGTGTTAAAGGTACATAGCTGTTCTCTTATATGCTCGTATATGCCTTTTCTTCTTTGGTGCAATAGTACCCTTCACTGTCACTTTCAGATTGTTGCTTGGTAATCGTATTCTCATGCCATTTTATCTTACTCACTGATGCTACAGATTTTATGATGCAATTTGTTTGCATTTCACTTTTTGTGGTTGACAGTTTTGCAAATTTATGAGTGCTCAGCGTAGCAAGTTCACATAAATATCAGAATACACACATACATATATACCTACGTCTGCAACTTAGAATCACTCGCTTGCAGCTAAGATTCATATATTTAAGCAAACTACTTATTTAAAAGCATTTGACAACATTTTGTGAAAAATTTATGAATAATTATAAGTGTTGTTTGCTTGTTAATGACAATTACATGTATTGCACATACATATATACACCTATGTATTACTTGTCGTTCACAAAGTTTGTCCGCACTTAGGAGTATACTACGAATTTTGTTATAATTTTTTGACAACTGGTTAGCTTGGCTAAAAGTTGCGTGTTGCAATAAAATCTAAAATAATGACAATTGCTCCTTTTTATTATTTTAACACATTGCGTGTCCACATGACTTTTGTGTCAGATTTAATTGACAACAATAATGATAACATTTTGATTATGTAAATTTCATAAGAGTAATAAATGTCATTGTGTTTAGTTGAATAACCGAATTACTTTTAATTGCTTTCAAGTACTCTTTTTTGTTATTACTTTTTGTTTTTTTGATGCTGCAAGAAATAATTTCGAAAGATTTTTGTTCTCTGCTTCCTTAAAATTAAATTTCTAAGAAAAATATAGTGAAAATTAATAAAACTAATGAGATAAATGACACAAAGATGAAAGTTGAGCCTGAAGTTAAATCAAATGGTTACATCAAATTTTTTCCTTATCACAATATTTTTTTTTAAATCATACAACTTAAAAGATACTCAAAGATAGTTCTTTAGTAATTCTTAGATCCTATAAAGTATATGTGTTTATAAATAACAATATATAACGATATAGCCGTGTCTGTCTATCCGGCTGTCTATATAAACGCCAAGTCAGTCTTTAGTTTTCGAGATATCGGTCTTAAATTTTGCACCTTACTTTTTCTCCCTAAGATGCTGCTCATTTGTCGGAACTGCCGATGTCGGGTCCCTATAGCTTACACTTGTCAGTCAAACTGACGATCACAATGAAGTCCTTGTACGAAAATTTTATTTGACGAGATATCTCCACGAAATTTGGCATGAATTATTGTCCAAGGTCACGCTTCTTGTTCAGATCGGACGACTATATCATATATGTAGCTGCCACGCAAACTGACCGTTCAAAATTAAAATAAAGATCGTTTGTTCTTGTTTCAATATGTTCCGAGATCATCTTTTAACGCCTTTGGTTGAGGTAACGAGTATGTATATGAGTATATATATAAGTTATAGGTCATCATAAAAAACTCTGCTTGAATGATTTTTAATTTTCAATTATTATTAGATTTCAATACATACTTGTATTTTAATCGTTAAGCGGAATTTTTTCTCCAATATCTTATGTATAAGTAATAGCTCGTTATTCATACGCCATGTATTCCATCGAATTTATGCAATGCTAAAATGCCTAGATTAGGAACTTTTGAACTCTTAACCATGTGGCAGTAATGAGTTTACCACAGCAATGTCGGCAGCAGATGCTAAAATATTTTAACCTCACAATCTCAGCAACTAATTATTGCCCGCGGCGGCGAAGTTTGCATTTACAAAGGCTGAAATGGCAAAACAATTTGCGTTTCACTTTATAACATTTTGGAGAAGAATGCGCTATGAAAGACGAGCAGAAATGTCGGAAATTAATCTTTCAAAAGTTAAGATTAATTCACAACAACTTCAAAAGTGGCGGGCTCTGAAATAATTTATAGGTAAAATAATCTAAATATTGAATTAAAATATATATATACATATATATTGAATAGAAAAGCAAGCGCTGCATATCTAGAGGTGTCTCATAAATATTTTTTGCTTTTATATCGCCACCGACATTTTCCAGTTGATTGATTTATAAATTGCGTCTTCTTATTCCCTCGCTCCATAAGCTTTCGATTGGCAGTAATTTTTGTCCCTTAGAATGTCTGTCACCCAAGATGCATGTGGAAATTGAATATCATCGGTAAACATATTTATAACTTATATACATACATGTAACATGTACACGATTGTTGATATGTGTGTATATGTATGTACATATGTACATCGTTCAACAAATAAAGTTCAAGCATAGAATAATGGCTGTTGTTGACATCTGACTGTTTTAAGGTTAAGTGACAGTGTTAACACCAATGCCCAAACCAAACATACCGACATTATTGTCCACACATGATTAAGTACTTACTTTAATATTGAACGATACAAAAAAATTGAAGTAAACGAATCGTAATTAAAGT